AGGGATGCGGGCATCAGTTTCTAATGGGCAGTCCATCACATATGACCTTGCCATCAGAGTGTGTTTGGGGATGAACCTGGGCCCCAAACAGGGCAAAAGTCTGCTTTACGACTGAGCTGCTTCCCCTCCTCCAAAGCTATATAACCGCACCATTTTTATCAAACATAAGCAGCCAGATATACAAATCTTGATTTAATCGAACAATTGTGTTATAGACTCCTTATAAAAGTTACAATGCTGTCAACTCCCTTTTTACCAGACGGGAATGACAAAAACCCATTGAAAAAGTTGATCACCCCATGGAAGCCATCTTCAATGTGGCACCAAGTGACAGGCACCCCGTTATCCTCCAGCCGTTTCTTGTAAAGAATCCCGTCGTCCCTTAGAACATCGTATTCACAAGTTACAATGCAGGCCTTGGGAACCTGGGAAAGAACCGCATCTTCAGCCATAAGAGGAGAGAAGGTGGTCTCCAAAGCTTGCTTCACAACCTCGTAGACGTTGTCCAAGAAGGATGCGGCCTCCGACGGCTTGAATCCCCTGGCCTTAAATTCTTCCGGGATGTTCTCGGAGTTGATCCATTTCCCAAATCTTGTTTTGATGTCACTGGGGACGTGGCACCCTTGCATGACGCTGTCTAACACAGACAAATCCTTGTTGAGGTACTGCAGAGCAGAACAGATGACATGCTCTCGGTACAAGATGGGGACCGCTCGGTTCTGTTGGTAAGAAGGTAGGTTGAAGTCTATCGCTTGAAGACCGGGATAGATCAGAATCTGAGCGAGTGGCTTGACCAGATCTGCTCGGCTCACTAAAGCTTGGCAAACGGAAGCGGCGAAATTCCCTCCAACACTGTCCCCACTGACGATAATGCGAGCAGGGTCCACCCCGTAGTCTTCTGCTTTCTTCAAAAAATGTGCAGTGGCAGTCAGGCAGTCGTGAAACTGGGATGGATACTTTTGCTCGGGGGCTAGATGGTACCTATATGAAAATAAATTTGGTGCAATAATTTAATCTTAATATTGTTTTGGTTCCATTTCAACCCACCAAGGAACCCAGGGCAGAACATATGCAGTGAGTCTAGGGTGGCCAGCCTTCAAATGGGGCTTGAAATCGCAACAGATCTTCAGACTACAGAGATCATTTCCCTTAGAGAAAATGGCTGCATTGGAGGGTGGAGTTTACAGCATTATATCCCACTGAGGTTCCTCCCTTCCACAAACCCTGCCCTCCCCAGACGCCATTCTCAGATCTCCCGGGATTTCCCAATCCAGTGCTGGTAATCCTAAATGTGTCCTTTATCCATTTTGCCCTTTGGGAGAGATAGCCCGGTCTGGTGTCCCGGTCTGGGTGTATGTGCCCTGAGCAAGATACTCCCCAGTGGGCTCCAGCATGAACTCATATGCAGACATGAAGCTGCCTTATACTAAGTCAGACCACTGGTTTATCAAGGTCATTGTTGCTGGCAGGAGCTCTCCAGAGTCTTAAGCAAAGGTCTTTCACAGCACCTACTGCTTGATCCTTTTGAAACTGGAGATGCTGATAATTAAACCTGGGAGCGTGTGCATGGAAAGCTGACATAGAGTTTTTAGCCGAATGCTAGAGCGTCCCCTGCACGATGTGCCCAGCGCAATGACGTCACCTCTGTGGGCAGCGTCTCTTTCTCATGTTCCTTTAAGCCCTACCTATAATGATAGCAAGAGAGCCATGCTTCACGGCTGGCTCCTCTTCCATCAGGAAATGGGACCAACAGCCCCCAGTACAAGTCCAATACTCTAAACCACTACACAAACAACATCTCTTTCATGGAGGTAGAGTGAGCATAGGTATCTTGAAACCATCTGCAGAACACAGGACGTTTTTGACTCAGGGGCTTCTTGTGTCTCTTTGCTGAAGGCCCTTTTCAAACTGCCTTTATATTCCATTTTAGTAACTGATTGCTAATGGATTTTTTTCTGTCATGTCTGACAGACCCGTTTTAGTAACTGGCTGCTAGCAGAATTTATTTACCTGTTCATACAAACCTGCTTGCATTGGGTTAGCAAAGTGTGGTTGAGCCGCTTTTGGGGGAAACTCGCTCTCTTCCGTTCTCTACCCCTTTGTTGCACTTATGGTTCACTTGTGGTGTGCTGTTTAAAATGTCCAGAGTGCTTACGACGACCCTGCTTTTCCCCCTGCCCCTTTTCGCCGCGCAATCTTCCGTAGACTTTTTAAAACATTCTAAGTTGAGCGCTATAATGCTAAACTTAGAACATAAAAAAAAAGCTCAGAGGAAGATCACATGGTGAAAAGGGAGGGGGGAGCGGCATTGTTTGAAATGACCATAGTGCTACAGAGATGGCTCATTAATGGAAGGAAATTCGCTGTGTCTTTGCCGCTATGCTATCCTAGTTCTCGTAAAAGAAGAGCTGTTTCTATTGGGAAGGAAGGCAACAGCAAGAAGCAGCCATTTCCCAAGGGTTGGGAATCATCTGACATGTTCTGTTACAGAGCTTGTTTTGGAAAGCCAGTGACTGGTTGGCTGCCAATGAAGCCAGTGATTGGTGGGCTGCCAACAAAGCCAGTGATTGGTTGGCCACCAGTGACGGGTGATGCAAAAGCGCAGCATTCCATGGCAGACGGTGTGCCAAAAACAGGGCCAGCGTGAGCAAATTACACAAACATTGCGAAACAAATAGCTCTGAAAAGCACCGAATGAACCGAACTTTCAAGGTGAAAACTTCGGTAAATAAATGTCCCATCCAGTTGCTCAGTTACGACAGAATTCAAAAATTCGGGGGAAATTGGAATGAACAGGAATTTGGATGCATCCCCTACATTTCCTGGAAAGGCTAAACCTGCCACCCGATGGCCTGCTACCACCCTGCCTTGCTTATATGCTGAGTTCATTTTATTTATTCGTTTACGTCATTTATAGTCTTCCTTTCTCACAGGGATTCAAGGCAGATTACACACAATGAGCCAGTGCAATCGCAAAGAACTGGACATTCAGTAACCGATGCGTTAGGATTTTAGAAGTCTGGAACAACGAGGAAAAAACTAAAACACAGCAGGAGTATTCACATAACACATTAAACGGTACGGATATCACATAGATAGGATCCTACTTATAATAAGCTAAACCCCACAGGATGGACCACGAGTGCCTAATCATTTATCCAAGAAAGTTTGTAAAACCATTTTGTGTCCTGCAACCCAATTCCCTAGGGCAGCCAGGTCTCTCCTGGCAACCGGCGGGAGAGGGGGGGGAGCCCTACTGGGAGCAGCAGGGAGGCCTATCCAACATGCAGCAACCTGTCTACATCACTGCCCATGTGACCCGGAAGTGATGTCATCACGTCTGGGACACTGGAGCAAAAGTTCGCTGGTAAATTTGGCTTCTATCATAGAGTTTTTGCCCAATGTCCTAGATGTGAAGACATCACTTCTGCCTCGATGTCCTAGATGTGAAGACATCCCTTCTGGGTCACGTGGGCAGTGATGTAGACATGTTGCTGCACTTCGGATGGATCTCCCTCTTTTTGGGGTGAGTTCCCACCCACTGGCCAGCTGATCAGTGGTGGGGAGGAGGGGCCTGGCAGTGGGAGACTCCCGCCTCCACCAGGGGGGTCAGGCAACCCTATTCCCTGTGTAGAAAAGCCCTCTTGGATAGTTCAGTTATGCATCGTTTGCAGAAGGCCAGGAGAGTGGGCGCTTTCCTGACCTCCTTGGGCAGGCCATTCTACAAGGCAGGAGCCACAATGGAGAAAGCACATGCATGCGCCATCATTGATTGTGCCCACTTGCAGGTTGGCACCCACAGAAACCCCTGCCCACCAATGCTCCCTCTAAACTGTGGAGCCTTGTGAGCAAAAAAATTCTACTTTGTGAGCTACTGGCATTAAAGCTGTGAGCGAGCGACGGGGCTACTGCATAGAGTAGTTTGCTCTGGACCAATGTTCCCTCTAAGCTGTGGAGTCCTGTGAGCAAAAATTCTACTTTGGGAGCTACTGGCATGAAAGTTGTGAGCCAGCGATTCGGCTGCTCCATAAATTAGTTTTCTCTGGAGCCCTCCTTCCTGAGCGAAGACAAAAAAACTGTGAGCTAGCCCACACTAACTCAGCTTAGAGGGAACACTGCTCTGGACCCATCCTTCCTGAGCTAAGGCAAATGTGTGTGAGCTGGAGGCTAAAAAACTGTGAGCTAGCTCACACTGACTCAGCTTAGGGGGAACACGGCTGCCCACTGTTGGAAACAGGATGCTGGTTTATTTTCGTGTGTGGTTATGATCGTAGGTGGCATGAACTCCACTGACAGACCCCCAAGGGAAAAAGAATATGATGGTCTTCCCTTCCTACCTCCTCAAAGGAAAAAAAATAATGCCAATCTTCATCTCATTGTTTGGCAAATGACAGCACCAGATGTTTGTCCTCCATTTCCTCTCGGGAATTCGGGGGGGGGGCTACATGGATCTCTCCTTCCTTCTCACAAACATATTGTGGAATCGGTTAGCCTTGACAGAACACAACTGGCCCGATGCTACCTGTTCAGTTTCAGAGCTGAATGTGGATTTGAACCCGGGACTTCGTAGCTCTCATCCATCTCTCAAATTCCATACTAGCTCTTGTTACGTACTCACCCAACAGATACAAGCACCGAATCGCTTTCTTTGGCGATGTACCGGCAAACATGATCATAGGAATCTGAAAAGAGGCACATAGAAAGTTAGAGTCTAGATTAATTTTTTTTTTTTTTTAGTTTTTGGACCTAATCCAGACAAAGGTTTGGAATCGAAGTTCTTGTTACATGAACGATGGAGCCACGCTCAGGTCTTCGAATGCAGGGAGCCGTGCTCAAGTGGATGAGGCGTGTTCTGCCAGGGGTGAACAATTAATCATTATCGTATGGCAGTGGGTGTAGTATAAGCCAGGATATCTGAAGATTGTCTGGCAGTCTGAAACTCTGGCTCTTTTTGTGGCGAGCTAGGTTTATTTTGGGGGATGGCAGGAGAGTCACCCAGCTGGCTTCAAGTGGAGGAATGGGGAATTGAACCCAGTTTTCCAGATTAAAGTCCACCGCTCTTACCCACTACACCAAACCGGCTCTCTCACCAGAGGCGAAAGAGTCTGTTTTCACCATTCCCTGATGAAAGAGTCTAATGCGTGCAGAACTGAACCTCTGGCTCTGACCCGAAGAGATGGAATGGAACTATTGAGCCTGAGTCCAAAAAGGATTCCGTATTTTGAAATCTGACTGCATTCTTGCAAACGTTTTTCATAAAAAATAAATAAAATCCCTGATACTGAGTCTGGTCATTGATCTGTCGAGGTCAGTATTGTCTTCTCTCTGGAGGAGCTGGGAATTGAACAGGGCTGGTTGCCAGTTTCCAGGTGGCAGCTGGAGATCTCCTGGAATTACAACCCAGGTTGCAAAGATCATCCCCCACTGGAGAAGATGGCTGCTTTAGAGGGTGGAGTCTATGGCATTGCACCACACTAAGGTCCCTCCCCACCCTGAGCCCCACCCTCCCCAGGCTCCACCCCCCAAATCTCTAGGTATTTCCCAACCCAGGGCTGGCCACCCGAGCATCCGTCTGTGTGCAAAGCAGATGCACTCTCACTGAGCCACAGCCCTCCCACTTCTGCTTTAGACTGGAGGAAACAGGTCGCATTGGCAACATGTCGCTTTTTCCCCTGTGGTGTTCTGTAATATCTATTTCTTAGAACTTCCTCATTTTAAATAACAACAACAACGTTAACTTCAAGAGTTTAGGCAGGCCCGATCTCATCAGCTCTTGGAAGCGAAGCAGGGGCGACCCTGGCAAGTATTTGGATGGGAGACCTACTTGGAATACCAGGGTCGGGAGGCCAGAAGCAGGCTATCAAGCCACATCTCTGAACATCCTCCGTGCCACAATAGGAGTCGCCAGAGCTCACCGTGACTTCCAGGCACAGACACAGACACAGACACACACACACAATGCAACCCCCCCCCCCCAGCGCGTCAGAAGCCTAGAGTCTTCAGCTAGAGTCTTCAGCTTTGGAGACAATATTTAATGCCCCATTTTCATGCACCAGGCTGAGCCTAAAAGAATTCAAATATTTTAGAGGTTGTGAAGGCCCCGTCCCCATCTCCACACCACGTGTCCTTATATTGAGAGCTGTTCACTTTGCTCATGTTTGGAACCTTGTGTGCCTATGAATCTTGTTTTTTGTCTGGATTGACACACTGGGCAACAGCTTTTGGCCACCTTTTAATGGAACTTCTTTCACTTAGGAGAGGCATTCCTACTTAGAAGAGGCATTCCCCCTTCTCTCAAACCCTGGACGGAATGCCTCTTCGGAGATGGTGCCTACTGGACAAATACGTTCAGTATCTTACGAACAAAGAATGCCTTTTTAATCCCTTTCTTACACGCCCAGGGAAATGTTGATCGCCACGTTGGGGTCAGGAAGCGATTTTCTCCAGGTCAGTTTGGCCAGTGTGGCAGAATTTTGGATTAAGGGAGACTTGGGCATTTATGTATAAAGTATATTGAACAGATGTAGCAAAAGCAGACTTTGGTTTCTTCCCGTGAAGCACTGCAGTCTGTCCAGTGCCTGCTTCCTACTTGCAAAGTGGTGCCTGGATGTGAACGAATGGTTTCCCACACATACCTCAAGTTCCTTTAGCCAAAAATGTACTAAGCCCCAAGGCTGAATCTCTAGAGATTTTTGCCTATACCTCACCTGCTCTGGCCAGAGGCTTTGACCTAACCGATAGGGAGGAAAGGTTTATGGTTTCATGGTGCCATCAAGGGGAAGGGTCTGGCTACTGGTGTGCTCATGACATTCCCACAGGACACTTGATGTAGGCCTTTTATTATCTTGCAGAAGGGAATAAACACTGTCCAGGTTCCGTTATTTAGCACCACCCCCTAAACGCCCTTTTGGGGTCTTGCAAACGGTGGTCAAGAGACATCTCTGTCTTGCGTGCTGCTGTTTTCGGTGAATGCTCTGAGCTTTTTTTATATTACGGTATGGTTCAAATTAACAGGTTGTGCTGCAGGCTTGTGTCCTCTTCTCTTTCCTGCCAAGACTTGGGTCCTTTCCTCACTATACCTTAAATCCTGGCTCAACCCTGTCCCCGAACTTATATACGAGCTTATATTCTACACTACACGCGAGTTCACCCCTGTAATTATCTCGGGGTATTTTTTGTTTCCACATTACATCGAGGTCACCCCAATTTTGCCCCAATTTTGCCCCAGGATAAACGGATGCTGTTATAGCCAGGGATAAATGTAAGGTATTGTGTCCCAAGTTGAACTGTGATAAAACCAAGGATGAGATACAAGTGCGGAAAGGACCTTGGTGTCCTGCCAGAATCCCATCCAGCCTAGTGAACCTAAAAGGAGCTGGTACACCAGCTGTGGTGGCTCAAGTGGTTAAGACGCTAAACTGCAGGCTGTGGAAGGTCAGTAAGTGGTTCAGCAATTCGAGACCCCGGCGACGCATGACGGAGTGAGCTCCCGTTTCTAGTTCCAGCTCCTGCCAACCTAGCAGTTCGAAAGCAAGAAATTGCAAGTAGATAAATAGGTACCACTTCGGTGGGAAGGTAACAGCGTTCCGTGCGCCTTGGTGTTTAGTCATGCCGGCCACATGACCACGGAAACGTCTTCGGACAGCGCTGGCTCTTCGGCTTTGAAACGGAGATGAGCACCGCAACCCTAGAGTCGGATTCGACTGGCTTTCGAGCAAGGGAACCTTTACCTTTTTACACCAGGTGGAAGCTCGGTGATCAGGTAAATTCTCTTTTTTCCCTGCAACAGCCAGGGATCCTGGAGGTTTTTTCTGGGCATGCAGCGGAGATCCCTGCAACAGCCAGGGATCCTGGAGGTTTTTTCTGGGCATGCAGCGGAGGTCACTGGGTGTGTGTGTGTGGGAGGTTATTTGTGAATTTCCTGCATTGTGCAGGGGGTTGAACTAGATATCCCTGGAGGTCCCTTCCAACTCTATGATTCTATTACTCTAATTTTCCATGTACAGGTTATGAGGGAGCCTTGAGTGTTTGCTAAGAAGGCTTGATTGTGCCCTTTGCCACCAGCAGAGAAAGGCTGGCCTGGCCAACAAGTCATCCTTGCTGGCCACCTCCACGAGAAAATAATTGTGTGAGACAATCTAATGTGTTGTCTACATTCCTTCTGCTCTGTGACAATGTCTCATTACTCTTAATAAACCAGT